ATTGAATGATGGGAGATATGTGTAGCTCTCCTACCCTAGTCTTCACCTTGAATGATATATTGATTTCTATTGTGAAAGTATACAAGTAGGAGAAGCACTCTGCATTTAGAGGAGCAGTCCGAATAAGTATTTAAGTGCCATTTGGTTTGAAAAAAGGTTTTTATGTTTTCGCTTACAAAAATGTTTTCACTGTTTGCTATACAATTTTTTCAAAATAGAAAACAAAAAAAAATAAAGTACCATCTTGCAACTAAAAATGAAAACAAAAACAGTTTTTCAAACCAAACAACCTCTCAGTAATCTGAACATATCTAATCCAACCAAAATCTATGTCAGAAGCATGACTACAATGTATCAGTAAAATACATGCCAAAATGCCCAAGCTTTTCTCACATAGATGTACTATACTATGAGCTGATAGAGAATAGATTACCTGGCTGCAACCATCTATTCCAGAAACTTGAACTTTCCTTCCCTGGACTCCAAGTGAGTCTGCAAAGATACAAGAAACAGTAACCTTACTTATTTAACATTCCTGAATGAGATAGATGAAAAAATATACCTAGTAACAACAAAAAAAACACTTCACACACGCAGAGAAAAAAGTGGTACCACCTTGATTTATAGCAATGACTTCTTTGTTGCTCAAAATCTCAAGTGTTTCAGCAGTCAAATTTCTTACATCACAGCCAATCAATAGAGGAGCCTGCACACACACGTTCACAATTTTGAGCATGTGAAAGTTTAAAATATAATGTGTCTTGACCTTTTTTTTTGGTCGTTACCAGAAATCAAGTTTGCCACCATTGCCTATTATCCTAAGATCTCAAATGGCCTAGCTATTATCAGGCAACATATAAAAAAACAGGTGGTGGCACATGAATATTAAGAGATTACAAAAGCAGCATAGACATATGCAACATCAGTCCATGTGAAGTCCCTACAGGGAAGAGGAGGGAGGGGGTGAGAGAGAAAAAGCAATAGGAAGTAGGAACTAAGAGCAATACCTTCGCCAAAGCCCAGATGCTAAAGTGAGCACGGTATTCCTGGTAAGTCATACCACCATTGCCAACTTCCAACATGTCTGGGTCTGTCCGTAAATGGTAAATTGAGGGACAAGTAAGAATAAGGTTTGCATTGCATTCTCAATAAAATTTCAAGAAAGACGTGTACCATTCCATCCTCCAGGACCAGCATATGCAGCCCACTTATCATTAAGATCAGCAATGGTTGTCATGCTAAACCAAAAAAAAAATCATTTTTAAGAATTATACCACCCAGATAATTTTGGACAAGAATGTAATTGATCATGTCAAAACTTTGTATGGAAATGGCTGAGGCTTTGGCCCAGCATCCATGGTTTGGAAAGAAGACAAATTTTCAAAGGTGTCTTCTAGTGATAGATATACAAAACAAAATAAAAAAGTTAAAATACTTTTTTAACCTCTATAATTTCACTCACTTTACGTTTTAGTTTTTATAGTTTAAAATGGACCTTTTTAGTTCCTATACTTATCTCTTACAATCCTTTTTAGGCCTTATATTTAAAATAGGTCACTTTAGATCTTATGCTCGCAGTTTTGTAATAATTTTAGCCAATGTTGTTAATTTTTTTGTAACATTGTCTTTTTTGTGTTAATTTCATAGAGGTATTCAACTTTATATATTTGATGTCGAATTTATTTTGCTAAAATTACTTTAAATTAGGTCTTTTGACATTATGTGCCTCTTTTATACCTTCACCTGTGACGCCCATTGCTGAGACATTTTTTTTTTACCTTTAGAAAATTGAAGACCTCTACCACATTAACACAAAACAGACAATGTTACAAAAAA